CCCCCCCCAAACTGCAGGTCCTTCATCCGCAGAGAATGAGAGCGAGTGACCTGTCTAGTGCTCGAGAAAGACCCTTCTCATTCTCAGGTTTTTGGTTCCTAGCCAAGGGCAGAGATGATTGTGGTACTGGCAACTTGTAGTTTGTCTTGTTTAGTCTCGGGTCTAGGTCAATTCGGTTGATCAACTCATTCACATTCGATGTGTATTTCATTTCCAAACTTTGTTCGGTTCTATTAATGAGATTCATATCGTTTAGAAAAAAAAATGAAATTCTATTGTGTTGGTCAATAACAAATTGTGGTGTGGCAATAGTCATAAAAATGCCACTTGCCATTCAAAGACTTTTGAATGACATGTTTGCATTACTCTTAGAGCATCTTTAACCATAAACCTCCGTAAATTTATTTTTACACTTCTCAACATGTCACATCATCCAAAACCTTATTTTTTTTCTCCTATAGACATAACCTCCAATAACAATAAACTCCATAAACCTCATTTTTATGAGTCCTACATATTTTTTTTCACTTACTTTAATATTAATATTATAAACTTTAATTTTTTTAATTTTATAAGGCCACATGTCTTATCTTTCCTACCTACGACTGTTATTTTTCTCTTTTTTTTATGTTATTTTTCAAAAGTTTTGGAGATTCAAACCTTACCAAATTTTAATTTTATAAACTTTCAAAGCTATGCAATTTATGGTGGCATGAATTTTGACTAAAGCACTATACGATTTTCCCGGGTGCAGATATGTATAAATAAATTCTCGATGACGCGCCTCGTCCAATGAAAGCCTTCCTTCCTCCACGTAATAAAAACGCTTCGTTAACCGGTTATGTCCGGTCTCCTCACCCACCAGCGCGATTTCACCGGCTGAGAAAGTTACCCAATTATATATATATATATATATATATATATATATATATATATATTACTACAATAAATAATAATAATAACAAAAGGATGTTCCTTTGTGCTTATTCGCAAATTCGCTTGTTTTTTTCTCTGTGATCTATCTATATCTATGTTTGTTTTTCGTGGAGAATAGGAATAGGATGTTTCTGTTGGATTGGTTTTATGGGATATTGGCGTCGTTGGGGCTTTACCAAAAGGAGGCCAAGATTTTGTTTCTGGGTCTCGATAATGCCGGAAAAACTACCTTGCTCCATATGCTCAAAGACGAGGTTGGTTCGTTTTTTGTGTCGTCCATGTTAATCAACTGAAATTGATTGACTTGTAAATTGGAAAAAGAATATTATTAGAACAGTCTGTTGTAATAGATTTTGTTTGTGTGCAGAGGCTGGTGCAACACCAACCAACTCAGTATCCCACATCTGAAGAATTGAGCATTGGGAAAATTAAATTCAAAGCTTTCGATTTGGGCGGTCACCAGATTGCTCGAAGGGTCTGGAGGGATTATTATGCTAAGGTTCATATTTATTTATTATGCTAAGCTTTCGATTCGGTGAATTGTGGAATTTGTTCTGTGTTGTGCTTTTGTAGTTTTGAGGTTTGCTAAGCATGAGATTATTTCTTGTCCTGCCCACAATTTGATGTGCTAGTGTAGTATAAGAATCTTGGTTGCTGCATAGTGTAGTATAAGAATCTTGATTGACAAACATATATAAGTTGGTTAACAATCGACGCGTGTTGTAACTCGTAGGTGGATGCAGTGGTGTATCTTGTGGATGCGTTCGATAAGGAAAGATTTGCAGAGTCTAAAAAGGAGCTCGATGCCCTTCTCTCAGACGACTCGTTAGCTAATGTCCCCTTTCTCATCCTTGGGAACAAGATTGATCTGCCCTATGCAGCCTCCGAGGATGAGCTGCGTTACTACATGGGCCTAACGGGTTTGACCACAGGCAAGGGCAAAGTCGACCTTTCAAGCACAAATGTTCGTCCCCTTGAGGTCTTCATGTGCAGCATTGTACGTAAAATGGGTTATGGTGAGGGCTTCCGGTGGATGTCTCAGTACATCAAGTAGTGGGGCTATCGAAAACTACTTTTTTCACATGTGAATTATCTTGTGTTCAGTTGATGAAGTTGGTAATATAGATTGCAAACGCGTGGGTTGTTTTTAAGTTATTATATGATGTCCTTGCCTTTGCCTATGTAATTAGCAGTTGCGAATCGAATTTCTGTGTCGGAGTTACAAAACCCTTGAGGGCAAATTCATGTAACAAATTCTTCTTTGAATAGCTGAACATGGTACTACATATAACTCATCAGAAGATTATGATTCTTTTCCCAGTAGGAGAAATCCATGTATGCGATAATGGGATTCTATGGCACGGCTTTCTGTTTTTTCGTCGGGCAAAAGAAAAACCAAGTTAAAAGGCTGCATTGGTCCCCAAATATGTTTGTATATGCATCATGCATTCATTATTAACACAAGCCTGCACTTGAAGCTCAATCAATCCTTATTCTCATGACATGGTTGCATCAGGATGAAAAAGTCCCTCATATTCAAGCTGGGGAGAGAGAGAGAGAGAGAGAGAGAGAGAGAGAGAATCAGACCATCGATAACAGAAATACTAGAAAGAAAAGAAAAAGAAAAAGTAAAAGGAAAGGCATTATTACCGTGGCTTTATTATGTTCCAATTTCATCCTCCTATAATCTTCTTGAGCTCGTTTTGATCGAAACATAGCTTGGACCCTAACGACGGATCTCTCTACACGCTCCTCGGCTTGTTTCCTGCTAGCCTGGAAGAAATCCTCTTCTGGGTCACTTTCTACATTTGGATCCTTAAATGTAACATCTCCCGGTTGAACCTGCAGGCCACGGAAGCCTTTTCTCTTGAGGCGCCAGCGCAAAATCGCTTTCTCGAGAATTCCAACCGACCACACAATCTTGTGATACTGTCTCCGAACCTGGAAACCTCTGAATGCTGCCTGCACTTGGGAAAAACGGAAATATTAGATCAGAGAGAGAATATAAATATTCTGGTAACTCCCTATCATCTTGAATCCACAATCCACTCTAAGAGCCACCTACGTACACAACCGATTTGTAGCTCGAGTAGGTCAAAAGTGTTGGTGTGGGGATATATGGATCAAATGGTATATCTCATGAATCTTAATTATATTTTGATTACACGAGTGATTAGAATACAATGCCTTAGTATTTGGTCACAAGTCTCGGGGATTATTATGATAATTGCAAAATCCCAATGCACATTCAGGATTATTATAGTGACCTGAATCCTTATGGCATGACGGCGCATGTTGAGGAAATCCCTCCTTATCTTCCACGTCCTAAACCTGTACTGTATCCTGAGAGCCGCCGCCATCTGTTTGCGTGTCTCGTAGTTGCGGAAGGCATGCTGTATTTTCATGGCTGCCACTATGCTACGAGCCTCCACCTCCGTATCGCAAGCTGCCGCAGCCGCTGTTTTCCGCACCTTAAACGAGTGCTCTCTGAACGCCGCCTGTATGCGAGCGGCAGCATCGGCTGCCGTCCGGTAGGCAGCCAGCGTGTCCTTGAGATACATCTCTTCCTCCTCCCTGACAGTGATGACATCATCACTCTGGCGGGTATGGAGTGTGCCGCTCGCATTTCCAGCAATCGCCATCTCGTTAAACTGTGTCACCAAACCTTTCTCTGCAAGGTACCCGGCCAGGCCGTCATGACCGGTTTTCGATGCCAGGTCAGCCGCCGTGTACCCGCCAGGGTTATCTGAGGTGGGGTCCGTCACTAGGTTCGGCTTTGCGCCAGCGGATAAGAGTGCAGCCACCATTTTCTCCCTGCAAATTAATAATAATAATTACCTTGAGGTTTAGTCTATTTACAGTATTAGATAACCCCATCTACCTTTTAAATGAAAATTAGTCATGCATTTTTATTTCTATACATTGCACCTCATAAGTGGTATACTTGTGCACCTAAGAGAACTGCAAATGGTGGCTAAAAAACGATCAAGATAATCATGTGGAAAAAAAATATATATATACAAGGACCTCAAAAGTGTTTCTTTCCCAAAATAAGGATATTATATTCAGATTTAAAAATGTTCACATAAATAAAGCAAAAACAGAGTTTGTTTTTTTTT